GGAGATAACTGTTGATACCCAGGCAGGAGAGTACGGCGAAACCCTCCTGGACGCCTGCCTGGTGAATAGGGGGAGAGTACGGGAGTTTGTTCCTGGACACTCGGTCGACATGGAGAGTTCGGCGAATATTCCTGGACGCCTGTCGACTGAGAGAGGACAGAGCATCTCCTGGACGCCCCAGGTAAAGTACAGGAGAGTACGGGAGAAAACTACTGGTCGCCCGTTCGGAATGGAGAGTTCGGAGAGAATACCTGGACGCCATTCGAACGGGAGAGAACAGAGTTACTCCTGGACGCCTGGTTGACGAAAGGAAAAGATTAGATAGAGAGTAAAATATAGGGAAGGAAAGAAAGAGAGAGAGAGAGAGAGAGAGAGTTATGTAATCGTAGGTTCTTTACATGCATTGCGAAAGAAAATTTGTAACCCCGTTGATTCTTGTATGCCTCTCCTAATATCCTTGAATAAATATTCCTATTTTCCAGAATTCCTGATTTCCTTTCGATTACCTTTGTCTGAGTATCCTATCCCGAGTAAAAGATGGCTACAAGTGCAAATTTATAAATCAAAGTCTTTCAATCTTAAAAGTATAATTCACAGAGATTAAGCTTCCTTCGCCATCAATTAACACAGCAAAACATCATTCGGTATATCCGTACAAGGATTATCACGCGAACGAACACGACTGAAGCATCGATTTGGGTTAACCATTTGTTTAATTAAACGATGGTTTCGCTCGTGTATTATCGACAACTTTAATTGTCCTTAAGCTTGGTCAATCGATACCATAACCTGATTACCTACGAATATAAAATTGAATCTCATTTATCCGCAGGAAACAAGGGTAGACTTTTATCCCGTCATTGCTTTTCCTTTTGCTCTATCCGCTTTAGCTCGCGAGACACAATCTTTTTTTCATCGATTCATCCTTCCTTTATTTTTTTTCACGCTCGTATCTTTTCGATGGAACAAGGTGTCCAATATTGTGAAAAAAATGACTGCGGTATGGGCAATATCGAGGAGGATATTTAGGCATCTGAGGATTTTAGGATTTGGGATTTGGGGTTTGACAATTTAAGGATTTGGGGATTTGGGGATTTGGGGATTTGGGGATTTGGAGAATTGGGGATTTGGAGATTTGGGAATTTAGGGGGTGTGAGAATTCGGGAATTTGGGGACTTGGGAATTCGGAAGCTTGGAAATTTGGGGGCGTGGGAATTCGGAAGATTGGAAATTTGGGGGTGTGAGAATTCGGGAATTTGGTAATTTGGGGGTGTGGGAATTTGGGGACTTGGGAATTCGGAAGCTTGGAAATTTGGGGGCGTGGGAATTCGGAAGATTGGAAATTTGGGGGCGTGGGAATTCGGAAGATTGGAAATTTGGGGGCGTGGGAATTCGGAAGATTGGAAATTTGGGGGCGTGGGAATTCGGAAGATTGGAAATTTGGGGGCGTGGGAATTCGGAAGATTGGAAATTTGGGGGCGTGGGAATTCGGAAGATTGGAAATTTGGGGGCGTGGGAATTCGGAAGATTGGAAATTTGGGGGCGTGGGAATTCGGAAGATTGGAAATTTGGGGGCGTGGGAATTCGGGAATTTGGTAACTTGGGGGTGTGGGAATTTGGGGGCGTGGGAATTCGGAAGCTTGGAAATTTGGGGAGTGTAGAAATTCGGAAGATTGGAAATTTGGGGGCGTGGGAATTCGGAAGCTTGGAAATTTGGGGGCGTAGGAATTCGGAAGCTTGGAAATTAGGGGGTGTGGAAATTCGGAAGCTTGAAAATTTGGGGGCGCTGGAATTCGGAAATTTGGAAATATCCAAATTGTGGAAAAAAAATTAATTTCTTTTCTTCTAACTCGAATCGTTATATCAGTGAACTAGAGAACACCAAGGTGAAAATTTTGTGCATCGTCTATAAACGATTTCGATATACGATAGCGTTGAAACTCTGTACAATCGAGCGGTGTACCATTACAAAAATTCCCTATCGCGTTTATTCGGTACATCCCTAGATTCCCTTTCTGTAAATCAAGTTAAAAGAAAAAATTAAATTATCGAACTTCACAATTCTTTTTCTTTTTCATAAAAAAATTTCTACACAGCGTTTGACTCGTGATATTTCATAAATTCTTGCGCGAGAATTTTATTCTCCCAGCAGAAATATCTCCGATATTTCATTTTTAAATTCCACTGTATTTTATAGCTTTATTTTAGAAATTGTGAAAACATATTTTTAACGATAATTCCTTATAATAATTGTCTGAATATTTTTGCGCAAAGGCATCGTCGATCTGTTTGCCGTTTATGTTAGTCTTTTTGCGTTTATACCGTCCTCAATTTCGTTAAAGTTAATCTCTATTAATTCGAAACGCGACTACGAAGTATCTCCGCTAATTGATAACGTTGAGTCACCGTTTTATATTCCCATCCGCTTATACCTGGATTAAGTGTATCGAGTTTCAGGAATAATCAACTCTATTCGTGTCATTGAAAATCCGAACTCCTTGGATCACGAGTGGCAGGAAGTTTTACGTAAGCCACGGAAAATACGTATTTTCGTTAAACTGCTGAATATGGTTAAACGAGAACTTGCTATTTTATCGAGAGGGAATAATGCTGTAGTTAGGCCACCCCTAGTTAGGCTCGAACGGCAAACAACGGCTGAAAGAGACACTTTGAAAGGATTTCTTAGTCTTTTGTAATCATCCGCGATGCTCACGATATACGCTGAAGGTCTACAGATGACGAAATTGGCCCAAGGTCGCTGTTATTGGCCAATAAGAGACTTCTAGAGGGTGGACGCAATTTCAATAACCTCATGGAGAATCGATCGTTTCTTAACCGAGGAAATAGCTAATTAATGTTTTGTGTTCGTGACAGTGTCTTTGAAAAGCAACATGTGTTTTGCTATTTTCATTCTTGTTGTTTTAAAGTGGGTTATTGGGTTTGAAAATTCTTAGAC